CATGAAGCGTCTAGGAGTATTCGGCTACTCCCCCTGGACGGGATGCCAGTCCATCGGGATGCTAGTCCAATAATTCGCCGGTATCCATTTACACTCCTGGGTGGAGAGATGCACTCTAAGAGTTAAGCGTCTTTCCCAAGAACACAACAAAGTGTCCCCGGCCAGGCCTCGAACCCGGACCGCTCGATCGGGGGACGAGCGCACTAACCATGAGGCCACCGGGCCTCCATCCGAATAGAGGCTATTCTAAATTTCTAAATTACAAAGAAGTAAGGCTGAAAATTAGACCGGTAAGCGTTTTCAAGAGCCTACTGATTTTCCTCCTGATGAATGATTCAATGAGCTTCGCCAAGCGTTTATCTTGCAAAGATTTTTTATCACAACTCTAATTTTAACTTAAGCATTTTTATTGGTTCTTATAGAAAGCAAATGTAGTTGAGATATAAAAATTGGGGTTTCTTTTTCTTTTTATTCAACAACAAGATTTTGTAGGAGCCGTCATAATTATCCCTTCCCTCCCCTAGTGGTACACCATTTTCTCCCACCACAGACCGGTTTTACCGGCTTAATCCGAATTTAATCGAAGATGAAATCTGTTTTCAGGAACACCATTTTATCCCCCGATTAGTTTTCCCGGAAAAAAGAAATTTACTCGAGGAATAATCACTAACCTCGGATTATTTTAATCGACTTTCGAACAACCGGAGCCGGGCTGCTGGTCACAATATAGACTCATGGTTACCATGACAACCAATTCATTCTGTGAGTCTATGGGGCAAAAAGTGACCTGTATGGCAGCACTTCATCCCAACCCAAAGTTTATTTTTTTATTTCAATTCAAGATTACAGAACATAGAAAAAATTTACCCCTAAGATTTATTTCTGAGTGCAGTTATGAAGTTCTCAAGAAAAAACATAATTGCAAACTGTAACAATTTATTTAAGATCGCAATGTCATTGTGAGATACTAGAGGGGTAGCAATATGTTGAACCGAAGGCCCAACCAAAAATTCATTAACAATTCATTTCAAGAAAATATCAGATAAAACACGAACAGAACCAAAGCTTAACTCCGTACTACAAGTATGTACATAGTCCATCAAAGTAGACAGGGCTACTCTGTTCGTTAAGTGTTTATGATGCAGATACGCTGCAAGTCTGAATAGCGTTGGCTCTGGCTGCTAACTGTAACATCTTATATTCATCATGGATCTCAATATATCTTACATCAATTTGTCTTGTATGTAACATTTTTGTATCCAATACATGTTATATGTAATATCATGTATTAAAAGGTCTAGTCTGGAATACTCAGAGGGTATAGAAAGTTAAGTATATTGTGTGTGTGTACTATAGTGCATGACATGCTAATGACATAGGGAGGGGAGGGTGGGAAAATAATTGTACTGGAACAAAGCAAACTAAAGCAAGCAAGATAATGTTTGCCCGCTAGAGCGAAAGAATGAATAAACACGAGGCTTATGTTCAATGCCCTAGGAGTTGATTGTCAGTGAAATAAAAACCACGCTGATTGGCTCAGCCTGCAGATTGCACTGAACTTTGGCTTGTGAAACCCTACCCTATCTTATTGCATGTCGCGCAATCCACACGTAATTCTCATGGTTGTCCCATTTTAACAAGAATTTATGAAGACATAAATTGGTCTTTTTATTTAAGGACCTAATGGCTTGCGATCAGGCGAACGCCTTATCACAGGTTATGAATCGATTATAAACGACTGGGAAAATTACATCATCGAGATTGGCTGAGAGCAAGAAAATTTATAGTTAATTTCTAACTTGCACTGCATGGAATGCAGATTATGCTCAGGCGTTCAGTCATACAATAAATAATTATACTCTTGTGATACTGCACTCAACTCGCTCGCCTAGAGGCTCGTTCAATTTTGAGGGAATTCCCGGCTATTTATAACTATATTTACACCACCGACCAAGAGCTTGGTAGAAAAAGGCAATAATCCATGCCTGTTCGAAGGCTAAAATCAGGGCATATTTACAACTGCCTTGCAAACAGACCTCATAAAGCTAGCCGGCGATCACGCAAACAGGCTCTTCACTCCCCCCTACCGTGAAGCCCGAAAAAGGCCTGATTCCCCGAAGAGCCTGCTCGCAGGCTACATATAGCTTGCCTGCGTTAACATCATGTTACTTGGCAACGCCACTGACCACAGAAAAGCAACCAAGGGCTGAACTAGTTTGCGCCTTTTTGTTTCAAATTTGGCCTGCTACCGTTACGTCACAACGTTAATTGTCACCTCTATACAGTAGTGCACAATCGAACTAACATTGATTCCAGCTCTCGCGCAGCATCCTCTCGTCCGATCGCTTGGACAGCCTGGTACAGCTTAAACACAGTAGCGTCCGCTCGCTGGGCCCAGTCCTCTAGCATCACCTGGGTGCTGTGCGTGGGTCGCAATTTAAAATTGGCGACATGAGTGTTGGTATAGCCCAGCTTGCCAGCCAGATGTATCCACGAACCCCTAAATGACGCGGGGTTTAACAAGAAGCCAAGCTTCTCATACAAGTCAGCACTGACGTCCCTCAACATAACCTGATTGTCTAGGAGTGAAAAAACAAAAACAAAAACAAAATACTCCCTGAGAAGATTGCAGAAAAGAAAGTGCGTTAGATTCAACTAAACTCCAGCAATATAGTTATTATGATTTACTGAGCTGAATCATCAGCTGAAGAGTGAGGTCAAGATGACTAGAAAGATATTGGAGTCATTGTTGTTTTTGTTTTGCGTGTAGTCGGGGGCAATATCCAACCAAATTGATTGAACAAGCTTTGTCAATAAAGGATTTATTGTATGGCAGAAATTAAAGTACACTGTTTTCTTGCGGGACACTGCGGGTAATCCCGAGCAGGTAACACGGCTCCGTGCCTAAAATTTATGAAAGTGCCAAAAACAAGAACCTGGAGATGTCATACAGAAATGTAGAGATGTTAAAATAAGGTGTATTAGAATAAAACAAAGAATATATTTAGTGGAATCTTTTCCTTGAAAATTTAATTATTTGTTTAAAACAAACTCCAGCTCTCTTTCCCGCTGTGCGACACGTTACGTGATTAAATTGAGCTTAATCTCTTTCCATTTTCATCAGTCTAAGGCAATACAGGTCGAATTTTCAGAACTTGTCGCTAGCGACTGTGGATCAGCATTACTGAACGTTTCTTTTCCTGTGATTTTTTTTTTAAATTAGAGCATTGTTTTCCTCTGTATAAAAGTACACTAAAACCACTCCATTCGGGGTTTTCCTCTTGAAACTTGCAATTGCCAAAGAAGTTTTCTTCCCAGCGAGACTCTTTTGTGCTTTCAGGCAAAGTGGGAGTTCGAGTTTAATCACGATTGATCAGTAGAGATATAAAAAGGACTTGGATTTTGTTAAAATTTAACGAAAATTAATTTCGTGCCAGAGAACGAGTTTAGCGTGACGGCGTCAACTCAGAATGAATAAAAACTTAGCGGAAATGGCGTGACGCATCACGCATGACAAAGCAATAACATTGTGCCTACGCACGCAGGTCTTGAGATGTTTTGATTTTGAGTTCTTTTGAATAATAACTTTAACATAATGTATAACTCACCACGTGGAGTAATACTTGTTTTTTGACCATCCTGATCCTCATCTCTATTTGCAGGGTGGGCAGTAGGCACTTTGGCGTCTGTCGCGTCTGTCACATCGTCTTGTAGATTGTATTTCCAAAGTGGAAATCTGTTCTTCGGTTTATCGGCAACGACAGGGTCAGTTCCTCTGTGCTGTTTCCGTTTAAACTCCTTCAGTTTCCTCACCAAATCCTCTCGCTTTATCTGTTTAAGTAGATCTTCCAGAAGATTAAAGTTCTTGCTTCCAAGCTCTTTCCTTTGTTCGAGAACCAGAATAAACTCTGTAGCGCTGTCGCCGATGGATTCAAGTTCCCTGGCGGTCAGCAGGTCTCGGCATAAAAACTTCATCGAATGCAAATTTGTGATTGAAAGATCTTCACACAGAGAGAAAACGAATTTTCTGTACTCTGAGATGGACGCACCGCCCATCCTGTCGGCAAATTCACAGCTCAAAATAAGGTTTCGTATTAAAATCTTGCTCGAGCACGTGCGTATTACAAAAGGGGGCTCCCCTTATCCCAAAATGCATTCGGTGAAGTCAACATACGCGACGCGTGAAAAAAAGTGTGCGTGACAACCGAAGGCTGATTTAGCCTGTTCCAGGCTCTCGGTCAGTATGGGGATGGGGGACTGTCGACTGAAAAAGCGGGCGCCCGAATTTATCAACGAAACTCGTTTGGACAAAACGTCCTTTGTATAAGCCACGTATAAGTTCAAGAATATAGTTTCTACAAACTGTTTTCAGTGGGCCTTTGATGAGCGATGAGAGAGGGAGCCAGGTGATACATGGCCTCCATTTCCCATTTCATTTCATTTCCATTTCCTCCATTTCGTCCCGTTAAGGATGTGGTCTTGTTCATGAACGAAACACAATTTCCCAGACCAGTGCTCGAATCTGGACCGTCTATTTATCTAATCAGGAGTCCACCATTTTGTTACGTAGTATTTTTCCGCGCCCCGGGGGGACAAGGAGTTGATGAGCGCAATGTCCACGCATGTTATATGTCAAACCATCGAATAAAGCGTTCACTATTCCACTTTTACGTCATTTCCTAGTATTTCGGTATCTAGTTCCTGCATCATCCGAAAATCGTACCGATCACATAAGGCACGTGCGAATGACGGCAACAAAAATACGACTCTACAGTGCAACACAGGCTCTGTCTATATGGCTAGCTCACTGAGCGGGCAAGATGAACCGAATCCGGCGCTGTGACTGGCTATCCAAGCTGGAAAGCCCGCCCGGGATCACCCGCTGTGTCCCGCGAGAGAATGGTTATTGACCAAGCGTGAGGTCAAGATGGCTGGATATTGGCCAAGTTCTTTTTTCGGCGTTTATGGACACAGACGGATTCGAGGTCCATAAACACCCGAGAAAAGAACGAGGCCAATGTTCAGCCATATACATTTTGCGCGTTCTCTTGACCTTGTGTGGTAAAATGGCGTAATAGTGAAAAAATACTGTTGGTTTATTGCATTTATTAATCAAGAACAAGTCGTGAATGATAAACACACCTATCTCTGTCATCATCCTCCACATTGAACATTTCCTGTGGAAGTTCTTCAGTGGCCTGTGGCATGTGAGAGGTGGTACAGCTGCTTGCTTCAGAGAGTTGGTGAAGCCGTTCCAACTGTTGCTATCAGAGTAAAGTAAAATCAAGGGGTTCTAATGGCTATCTCTGCGATTCAATAGGTGAACCGTGTACGCAGGGAGGTTTAAGGTTTGACCATCGGATGTTAGTATAGGGAATTACATGATTTTCAGACTAACACAATTGAATTGTGGTTGCTTCGCCCGAAAGTCGGTTTGCCCAAATGCAGTTCACCCGGATGGATAGTCAGCTCTGAGGTCAGTGAATTAAAGAACGAGAAATAGACATATTTGGTGTTATTTTGTTTCATTTTGCCCACAAAACCGTCTTCCTTGCTCGTTTGGTTCAAAGAAAGAAAAGTTTAATAACATATCCTTCTTTGAACTTTTAGTTCGGGCGAAGGGACTTTCAGTCCGGGAAAACTGACACCGGGCGAAACGGCACACAGTTGCATGAGCATGTCACGTGAGTGCACATTGAAGTCTTTTAAAAATTTGCAAGTGCTATTTTCTCATTTTAATTTGCAGCAAGAGATTATGATCGTAAAGCCTTGTAATGGTTTCCAAGTATTAAAACAGGTTTCTAAATCGTACAACATCTTTCCTGCCACACAATGTACACGACAAACATAAGTATATTGCAAGTTTACCCTAGTATTTTACTCACACAAAAAAAGAATGTATGTATATATCTATGTATGTATACTTAATTGGCCACTCCCCATTGGGGCTTTTCAGGACCAATGTAAACAAAAGATGATAAATAAATAATCGAATAAACATAGCTAGGTTAAGAATCCCAACTGGCTGGAGGCAGACCAGTTGGCTATTTACAAGCGCAGCTGAGAAGTTGAACTCGGGGCTACCGAGAACAACATCAGCAAGCGGTCGGAACGGGTTTTTGAGCCCAGGAGCTACGGATTTCAAATCCGGCGCTCTAACCACTCAGCCACGCTGCCTCCAAGAATATACCTTGTTCCAAAATCGCAGCCAGTTTATCATTCTTTTGTTTACATGGTAATTAGCCCTCTTTGCCTCGTCAACATGTACAAAATACAAAAAAATTTTGAAGTGAAAATGAGGCAAAGAGGGCTAATTAACATGCAAACAAAAGAGCAATAAATTGGCCGCCATTTTGGAATAAGGTGTATTATGCTGTTATGTCCTTACTTGGTCCACCATAGCTGAATCGTCTCTTTGTGGATCAGGAACAGGTTTTGAGTTTGTGTGAAGTTGTTTGGGAGAAGAGGCCACTGCTGGATTGAAACAATAAATGCAGAGCATCAGATAATTCTTTTCAACTGCTTCACGTATAGTTACAGTTTTGTGGTTGAGCACTTTTATTTCACTTATATGAATGTCAATTATTCATGTACTTTAAGTCCAAACTTAGATAGAACATACACTAATCAAACTGAAACCAAGCTCAAGACCAATCCTGGAATGGATAAATCCTTTTAAATTTAACATGGGATGGTTCTGATGGGTAACGTAAGGTAACTTTATTTAGAGGACTTCGTAAACGTAGGGAGTGGTGGCACAAGCTCCTGAGCCAGGGGCTCATGATAAAAACGCACTATGGGTTTAGTGACATCAAGTCCACATAGTGAGCTTGGAAAAGCAGAGATTGAGAGGTTAGAAAAATGCTCAAGATAAACTAGTCTTGATTTCCACCGTTCTCTTGGGTCTGGCTGCACTCATTTCCCAAAACAGCAGCTGGTAGTCGAGCCTAAAGATAAACTGAAAACAAGTGAAACTCCCTTAACACCCAATTTGTTTTATGAAGCCCAGGACAAAGGGGCAAACAAAACTGCTAGGACTTATGTTGGAAGGTCCACAACTTACTGTGAACAATCTTTCGTTAAACACTATGCATGAATTACGTAACCAAAACGTTTCTATTTGTTTGTTCCTCAGTCAGCAGCAAACCACAATCACAATTTATTGTGTTTTGTGTACAGTCAAGGTCAATAAACCAAATAACATACAAAGGCTTCTTTGGGTTTCATAACCATTCCCCTCTATTAGCTACGTTTTCATCTTTTATATATTTTCAACTGAAAGTTATGCACCAAGCGATAGACAGACAAAAATTAGCACTGATGTAATGTCCACGATTAAATTCCCTTCCTAAGTATTTGGGGTTTTTAAGATGACTGTAAACAAAAACAACAACAACAACAAAAACACAAACAAGGCAAGTGCCTCTGTTTGCGTGTTACTAGCTATGGCCCTGACGATAAGAACAAAAAGTTTGAACCTTGTTTGGAAATACGTATAACAGTCCTGTGTGCATTACAGTATCCTGACTTGGATCTCTTACTGATTCTCTCCTGACACTGGTTGCCCTGAAAAACACAAACCAGACAGCATTGAAAATGATCATGTGCTCTGGCAAATCAACAACATCTAGAAGTAAGCAATATATTTGGTTTCAAATGCAAGTGAATATATGAAATATCATATATTTAAACTGGGAAGAAAGATATGAAGACACCAATGATCACTGCAGTTATTCTGGATTCCTGAAAACAAAGAAATTATGCCCTGCTCAAAATAGACGATATAAAAATTTTAAGGAATGTCAGTCTCTTTTTTCCTCCAATCTCTTATCTCCCTGTTCTTGCTCTCCTCTCTCTACTTTTTTTTTTATCTTTTTTTTTTTTTCATTCATCGCTTGGAGTGATTCTGAGGCCTTTTGGTGTTGTGAAATCGAACTGCACATGGCTGTTTTGGTTCAAAGTCTTGACACGGTTTTCATACAAGCTGTGAAATGAAATCCTGAAAAAAAATTCAGGCTTGAACAAGATTCGAACCCATGACCTCTGTGATACCAGTGCAGTGCTCTACCAACTGAGTAAACTGAAATATCAAGACAACTAGGAGCTGGTCACTTCGTGAGTTTGTAATATATCCATAGATGGTGAAGAATGCAAGTGAAATTAATCTTTCTCTGCAGTTCAATATATGATATTTCATATATTCACTTGCATTCTTTGCTGTCTAGGGGTATATTACGAACTCACAACATGACCAGCTCCCAGTTGGCTTGATAGCTCAGTTGGTAGAGCACTGCACCAGTATCGCAGAGGTCATGGGTTCAAATCCCGTTCAAGCCTGAATTTTCTTCATGTTTTCATTTCACAACTGCTTAAATTGTGAATATAACTGTGATGATCATTGGTGTCTTCATATATTCGGTTTTGCAAACTGAGGTTAGTTTCTTGTTTCTTAACAGTGGCATATCAAGCAGAATGCGAGAAAAGAAGTACAATAACTGTTCCTTACATTATTTACGTATTTACACTGAATACTTTTCTTGTTGTTGACAGCAGCTGGTTCACCCCCCTGGAAAAATAGAATAAATATGTCATTAGAAATACTCAAATGAAGCAAACAAAGTCAGAAGGAGTTTTAAAAATATCAGTGAGTCAAATGTGAACTGTATCCTAATTTGCGCCTTAGAAATATTAAATATTATTATTATTATTATTATTATAATGTTAGCCGATGCACTGAAATCCACAAGAACAACAAGATAAAAGTGACCTTTTGAATTTTAATTCACAGCTAAAAAGCTGTGTGTATTGGTAATTCTCAAGGACCAAGATTTTGCATTATATGCTGATGCTGAATGCTGAGGTACATAATAAGGACTTAATGACTGGCCCCACATACGGGAAACAGTGAGTTTTGTTTCCCCAAGGTTGAGGGGAAATAAAACTCACTGTTTCCTGTACGTGGGCCAGCCATTAAGTTCAAGTTGTTGTTCCCCTAGGGAGTGAGTGAGTTTTGACCCACAACATGTGACATGTTCTCCTCAAAATGGGAAAATGTAACTGAGTTGAGGTATAACATCGCAACTTCTCTGGTACCAGGTAAAAACCTTAAAGGACCCTAGTCAGCCACACCTTTGTTTTTGCTTACCTGCAAGAGTTTGGCTATTGTATTTTATTCAGAGCATGTTGAAACGAAGGAAATCACTGTGTAACTACTAATTAAAAGATAATTATACATACTTTCAGAAATACAAGGCACTTACAGTAAACCAATAAGATTTTGCTTCACCATGAAATATCAATAATTTCAATGGCATTGAAAATGTTGGAGGCTGACTAAGGTCCATTAACGCATCACACTGGGCTTAATTTGCAGACATTTGTAGCTTCTTCCCACTCGGAATATCGGAATATGAAATTTTGTCAATGAGAATAGAGATGATGAGCAAATAATTGAACTAACTAGCAGTCTCATTTTATGAGATGTTTGCTAAAATGTAATGACTAGCTTTACAGAGGTCACTGAATACAGTGGAATGCAAATCTATTGAACCCCCAGGGAAAACGAAAATGGTTTGAAAATTTGGGAAGTTTGAGAAAATGGGGGAAATCACGGTGGTTAACTCAGGGGAGGAAAGTGACTTTGGTTCAAGTTATCTGGAGGTTCAAAACATTGAGAATTTGAGAAATTGAGATTCCACTGTAGACATTTTTATCAGCTTACAGCTTCATTTGAGAAATTACAATTTCTAAAGCACACAGTTCATGGGATAACACAGCAATGCTCTGTAAATATGTACATTTTTAAGTCTTCATTATTTCTGTGACATTCTATATTTAGTATTTTCATCTTAATTTTTTTTTTTTAATATTTTTTGAATATTTGTTTTGTACTTTTTATTTTGTGGAGGACCTCCCTAAAAACCACATGTTTACATGACGGGCACTTCCTCCTATAAAGATTTTTGCTATTCCTGGTACTGTTATTATTATAGGATGGTGGTCTATTGCAGATCTGAATATGCAATTTGCATGATGGCGTCATTTGACTACAACTACCAGAATCCTTCATTCTTTCTGTTTCTTATGCTAATTAGGGTAATTGTTATTTAAACCCCGCTGGGGCTTCAAAATTTAAATAATAAAGAAAAAACAAAAGGAATTGCGGTAGTTGTAGTCAAATGACAACAACGTGCAAATCTGCTATTATGGCCTGTATTTAACAACTGGCATCCATGCCCTTCACATGGAGAACAGAACCCTGGTACTCCCAGTGATAATAAAGTACCTTGCCCAAGAACAAAACACAATAACCCTAAACAGGGGCCACATGTCATGTAGCAATGAAAACTGTGTTAATTTAAGTGTGTAAACAAATCTACTCACAGCACTACTTGTTCCATCTGAAGAAGGATAGGGGAACATGCCCAAACTTTCTGCTGACATTCCATGGTTTACAACTTGTGTCTTCTTTGGTCTGCTGCTGTTGAGAAAGTACAACAAACTCCACACTTTCAATTCAAATAATCTACAGTGAAAACATGTGTACTCACCCCTCACAGTCAGAGCTTATCACAGTTCTAGAAAATATCACTGACCCCCACCCCCCTTGGAAGGTCACTGGAAGTTCAGAGGAGGCAGGAAGTCTCAAACACTTAACCTGGAATTTCTAGAGGGAGGGGGTGGGTCAATTCAAAAAACCTTCTCTGGAAGGATCTGGATACAAATTGGTCTAGAACAACAAACTGCAACTCTCCCTGGATGGTATACCAGGTTACTCCCTGTATTTTTTAAGGTTGTCCTTGAATGGACAGTATCATGAGCTGCGCAAGTGTAAAGCTGCTTTTTCATATCGGCTAAAATATTTGTTTTTAGAGGGGATTTTAAATGCAATGTATTATTTTGAAGCTAAGAGAAGGCAGATATTTCAAAACTAAGTTATTTTGAGGTNAGTGAAAACATGTGTACTCACCCCTCTCAGTCAGAGCTTATCACAGTTCTAGAAAATATCGCTGACCCCCACCCCCCTTGGAAGGTCACTGGAAGTTCAGAGGAGGCAGGAAGTCTCAAATACTTAACCTGAAATTTCTAGAGGGAGGAGGTGGGTCAATTCAAAAAACCTTCTCTGGAGGGATCTGGATATAAATTGGTCTAGAACAACAAACTGCAACTCTCCTGGATGGTATACCAGGTTACTCCCAGTATTTTTTTAAGGTTGTCCTTGAACGGACAGTATCATGAGCTACGCAAGTGTAAAGCTGGTTTTTCATATCGGCTAAAATATTTGTTTTTAGAGGGGATTTTAAATGCAATGTATTATTTTGAAGCTAAGGGAAGGCAGATATTTCAAAACTAAGTTATTTTGAGGTCTGTTAGCAATTTTAAAAATAACTCATAACTTGCGCCATATTTCTGGCCTGTCGGGTCACAGTGTGATCTACACAAGTTCATAACAGTGCTAACTGACTCATGTAAATAATTTGTCTCTCCATAACATCTCCACAGATTTCTAAGTTGAATGCGCCATTAGAAAGCTAGCTAAATGTAGATTTCAAGTACCTAATGGTTTGGAGGCCACATTACGTTAAACGGCCAANAAGTTGTCCAGTGCTTCAAAGTTATTTTGTTCCCAACGTGTTGTATCGAGGGCATATACATGTAGATATTTATTGATGTCATAAGCTTAGAGATCCTAGACCACACCAGTAAATGAAAAATGTATCTCAAAATTCGCACCCATAGTTCAGGCTCTCATTCCTCTTCAGCTCACTCCTAAGCAGTTGTGACCACTTGCCAAGTTGTATAAGCACAGGGTTTGGGGGGGAGGTGGTACTTCCCGAAATGTTTGTCTGTGCGGCGCGTGCCTCGTGAAACTCATGCCTTAAAAATTATTCTGTTTCAGACCCCAAATTATCTAAATTATCTATATCAAATTTCGCCGAGACCTCTAAAATCTCTAGAAAATTACGCGGCTAACTATTTGCGTTAACAGCTAGTTTAAGAGTGGCTTCAGACTCCCCGATTTAAAAGGGAGAAAATCGTTTTCATCTAAAACACCCTCCCCGTTCAAAAAAAGAAAAAAAAAATAGCAAAATAAAAACGTAGAGGCCTGATCGCGCAGGTTTCAGACCAGAGTACAAACCTTACCCTATTTCAGACCACAACGGTCCAAATTAATTTCCTGTTTCACTAAAACGGCTCAACAGCCATACCCTTTTTCGAATACCCTCCCCTCGGTCCTAGGGCTAACAATCGAAATTTTGTGGTATTGCAAATTTCATTCTGCTTTTGTTAGGGTACATGTTGGGTTTAATGAGATTTTGAAGCATGTTTAGTTTACACTTTACTCAGTTGAGTTCACAACGCGCCATGACTCCAGGATTCAGCGGCACAAATTTGCATTTTCGCAACCAAGCTGTGCCTTTATTGAAGGTGTTGTCCCTTTGGTCTTAAGCAGTGGACACACATCTTGTTATGTTTTGGCTTTCTTTTGGACTGGATTCAGTCATTTGACCGTGGATCGGAACACCCTGAAGCGCTAAAGAATTTAGAAGTGGACAGTGTTTAAGGCGGGGGTTAACATGAAGGCCATATTTTTGCTGGGTATTATGGTTTGAATGCAAATATCTCGTTCACGTTTCAAGCAGTGAAAAATCTCTCTGCTCATTTTACATAGCTACGTTTTGGGCTGTTTTGTAAATGTTTTGGTGATTTTTAGGTATATCTGAGGATAAATAGTTTTTCTCAAAGGATTAGTAAAATTTATGGAAATAGGAAATTTTGAAGATTTGATGTTGTTCTAAAATTAGAATTTGAAGTTAGAAATTGGTAAACGTACACCAAACAGTTGCCCACCAACCCGGGGTGCCCTTTTAGGGGCAATCAACTGTCTGGTGGTGTTCCAAACCCCTTTTTATCCTTTTAATCCCTGTTTAAACTTCCTAAAATTTCACTTAAATTCATGTGTACCCCCGCCTTAAGACTCCACTAAGTGATGTGCTTTTCAAGATTTTTAATTTATCATGATTGACCCCTACTGATTACCTATATTCTATAGCTATTTAGCCCACCCGTCTGCTGACTGCATGGCTGATTAAGCAGCCTTTATCAACATGTTTGCTGTCAAATAGGTCTAGACGCGTGCGCCATTTGATGCCTGTTATTTGATCTCCCATGCACAGTGACGTTTCGCGTCATTCCAATCTGGCGAGCGTCTCTGCGGCGATAACGGACTCTGCGGTTATCAGAATCCATTCCACCCGGTTAATCAAAGAAATAGCAACAGATTGTGCCAGCTTTTGTACTGCAACGTGCGTTACATTGAAGTTGAAAATCATCAACATCTGTATCTTGCTGTACGAGTTTCAGGCCCGGGTTTCAGGATACGGAGTTGTCCACCATCGGTGCTCGCTTGTCTTCAAGGTAAGTTTTATTCTCAATGTAAAATGTTGAAATATATTATAAGACTACTCACTTGATTTAGCTGGTAAGGCTGAAGCTGGCGTGAAAAAACAAATTGCAGTATCCCACTGCGCAAACAATATTTGCATGCACGTAATCGAGCGACAGACGGACGAAAGACAAACGCTACTTCCACAAATATTAAAGACACTGAAGTGAAAGCTGCGATCGATAAGTACACTTTCGTCTTTATTATCACGCTGTTTTAAGCCTGGTTAATTACATTAAGTGCTGTGAACCATAGCAGCCATTCGCCCTGTGTATAATTGACAGACAGCCGTAAGCATTGAAGAGGTACAGACAGTCGTAAGCGTTGAAGAGTCTTCAATTCAATATTACCATCTTGACCTATCCCTTCTCGAATTCAGCGAAACTGGATCCTTCAGAATCAATCAAAGGTCCCGAAATATTTCTGTTATTGAATGAACAACACAAAACCCCTCAAGGTCCTGGACATTACTGATTACAGTGCCAGAAAAGCAGATGCGAGCGGTAGGGAGTAGAGGAGAGGAACCAGAGGAGCAGACACTGAATGAATTTAGTACCCCCGCTTCCGACAGAAGACATCTATCTTTTCTCCTTCATAATAATGCTATTTCAGACGAAACATACTAGAGCATTTTCAACTGCGATAACCCCTTTGGGGTTATTTGACTGTATCGTTTTTCGTGTCATGGAAAATTAATTACACTAAAAAATGTAAGAGATAGGAGTCTGCTTTCTCTAGTCTACCAAAAAAGGCAACCTCTTTTGAATCTCAGACATATTTCAGTAGAAAACCTGATAAGCGTGACCTGGTGAATTTTTCATGTCGGTCGCGTTTACGATCATTAGGAGTGTTCTTGTGCTGAAGTAACTCTTTTTGACGTGGCCATTAGACTGGTTGAGACGTCCAACATCCTGAAGTGAATACCAAGAATACACGCTAACCATCGTGAGACTATTCGCCCACGCAATACATGTACAGCGTTCATACTTATGAAGCTTACGGATCGTCTGCTCTGTCGTAAATGTGTTTTTCGAGAAGGACAGTTCTGTTCTTTAGGTGCCATAATCTTTTTCTTTCACTTCTTTATGCTTCTTTCACTTCGCTATCTAATTCCTTCCCCCTTGATTTCTTATGTTTTTCTTATAACGACCGGTCTTTTATTTGTTTATTTATCTATGATTATTAATGTTATTTTTTTATTATTTTTGTACAGTTTAGATCGGCAGTGCGTTACGCACAAAGGCTCATATCAGGATCAGGAGCGGCCGTACTTGAGGTACAAAGGCGCATACAAACAGTGCGTGAGTTGCTTTCCATTACTCTCTTGTTATCGGATATTGCCTCGACAGACGAACTTAAATTGCCAAGTTCTTGACAAAATGAGTTCAAAAGACTCGAAAGGTTCTTCAGACCCGTTGTCCACCAAGACGAAAAAGAAGGACAAGACAAAGAAAGGTAAAACACCTCATTCTTTTCCTCTTTGATCCTCCAATAACTTCTTCACTTGCTTCAGTTATACATTTAAACCGAGCTATTTTGAACTCTCAGGGGAAACGAAAAATAGCCGTTTGAAATGGAGGGAGTTCGAAAGAGCCGAAAGTGAATGACTGGAGGACAAATCCAGGGGAAATGGTTTTGAGTTAGAAATATCAGGGAATTCGAAATAACCGGGTTTAAATTAGCGGGGTCCAACTGTTTATGCAGAGAGGTAAACGTCGTAGCGATAGATGGTTAGGATGGATTTACTCGGTGAGAAAAATCAATACCAGTCACACAAATACATTCTATCGAAGATGCGGGAAACAAAGAACGACCGGTCATAGATGTAGCGCCATTACTCATAAAATAATCCAAATAACAATATAACGACCTAAAGAGTCAAAAAAAATATTTACGAAACTCAGTGATTAAAGCGAATTTTTCTAAGTTGCCATTTTACTGACCGGAGTAGCTTAAGAGCACGATGCGAGCAGAATTGTAAGTTTAGCTAATGTAAGCATAATGTTATGAACACTAGCTTTATAAAGAGCAGAATTTCGAGACGAGTAGGCATCTACTGGAGGGCGCAGTGGTCGCTAAATTAAATCTTCCGAAAATCCTGCGCAAAGTCGTACAACGCAAGAAAAAGCAATTTATCCTGAACTGAACCTGTAAACAATATATCCCGTGCGGGAGAAAGATCTCGACTTAGTATACTTGTCGAATATTGCGTAACTTCCTATCACAAGTGACGTGACGTCAAAAAAGCCCCTTTTATCAATCAATACAGTGTCACAGGATACTCAAGCATGAATTGTATTTTTAATTAAATTGTCAACATAAATAAATATTCGCTCAACGCAAATAACAGAGATTATCTAATACAATTGAAGTATTGGTTCGCTCATGCTTGGCTTTTTTCCAGTACTGTCGCGTCTGAGCAAGAACTATTCCCAGACAAAGAAGATGTTTCAATGACACTTTTACCAATGTCACTCAACATAAGCAATTTTTCGTATTTTCAAAAAAGAAAAAAAACACACGTTAATAGATCCATTTGCCATGTCGAATTCAGTAAATATGCATAGTATCTTAAGAATCTGTTGCAAACTAATTACAATATGGGACACCAAACTTGACAATTTTTCAAAGAAATGTACGCCAGAGGGTGGCACACATTTCTTTGTACAAATTGGCAAATTTGGGGTCCCATATTGTCATGCATGAGTTTGCTATAGATTCTCATGAAACTTTACATATTTACTAATCTCACACACACACGCTAAAAAAGAGTTGCATTAACGTATCCTTTGTTGCGTTTGTACTTCGTTTAGAGAGCAAAAAAGAGGAGAAAGAGAAAAGCAAGAAGGAGAAGAAAGAGAAAAGCAAAAAAAGGGACTCGAAAGATCTGGACAGCCACGTTGCCAATGATACTAACGTTGCTGAGATTGAAGTAGGTGGTCAGGAAGATTCTGCCTCGCCAAAAACGAAAAAGAAGTTTGGAATTTTTAGAGTCAGTGGAAGAAAATCTAAAAGCGACAAAAGAAGCTCGAAGCACGGCTCCTCTGACAGCTTGAAGAGGCGAAGCGTTGATTCAGCTGATTTTGAGAGCGTTGGAAGCGAAATGTCGCTGGAGGAGTCGACAGGGAGTGCCGAAATGTCAACGACAATTACTGAAGTGTCATCGATAGGTGCTGAAGTATCAAAAACAATAACCGAAGTGCCAACGGCAAGTACCCAAGAGTTATCGACAAGTGTCGAAGTGGTAGAGGAAGGCAACGAGATAGTTGAACCTCAAAGTAATGGCGAAGTGAGCAACGAAATTGAGGGACAAGAAGCTCTAGTGGAGGAAACGTCTTCAGAAGTAAAGGTTGTCAATGCAGTTCTCCAAGATGTGCCGCAAAATGAAGAAATCGAAAAACCACTAAACCAAGACACGAAATTGGCAACAGATACCTTGAAGGTGGAATCAGTGAGCTCCCAGGACCAAAGTCCTGTATCGTCAGAAGTGGAAACGTTCCATTTCAAACTGCAATCAGCCGTCATTTCCATTAAAGACAATCAGAACGTAGAGGGAAATGCAGAACAAAATAGCAGAACAGACGAAAGCAGGGCAGAAAGTGTACAAATGGTGATTGAAGAAGATACCTCCACTTACCCAAAGAAGAATTTTGCAGTAGCACCAGAAGTCTCTTTGGAAAATATCAAATCAGAACGTGATCGAGAAATCACAAGCTCTGAAGAAAGTCTTGATGCCGTGGTTTCCACAGAAGCTCTCAACACTAGGAGTGTGGGTGAAATGAGCGGAGCTGTAGAGATTGGAATGCGCAGCATCATTGGCGTGGAGGAACCAGTCATATCCACATACCAGGAGAGGAAAGGTCCGTCGCACGATGCTGCCCAAGAGTTGCCTCCAATAGACGAAGATGGGATAATTTTAACGTATGAGAACAAGACGCAAAACGAAATCAGTGAGGAACAGCATGTGCAAGAAGAACCTATCGCGCTGTCCTCCAAAGAAAAAAGAGAGGACCTGCTATTGAGCGAGATCACATTGCGAGAAGAAACAGTGACTGAGACAGAACCTCAGCTTTTGATAAAGAATGAGGACAAGATGAAAACAGATGAAGTACATGGAGAAGCACAAGTGGAAGAGCCTTCCGAAGCACAGATGGAAGAACCTTTCGAAGAACAAATGGGAGAGCTGTCTGAAGAGGAGCCACTGATACCCACATACGTTCAGAATAAACGAGACAACACGGAAGACGAAGAAGAGGGACGAGGAGAACAGGGAGAAGTACAGGAAGCTTCAGTGAATGAAGAGGCGATGGTTTTCAGTTATCCCGGCAAGGATGAAGATCAGATACAAAATGAAGGTCAAGATGGCCCTAAAATGGATGAGGAAGAGCCGGTGGTGCTGGAGATTGATGAGAACAAAGAAAATCAAATCCAAGAACAAATACAAGAATTTCTGAAACTGGATGCTAGCATCGACGAAAATTCGGCACAAAAAAGCGAGGCTGTCAAGAAAGATTACGAGGTAGATGGCATCTCTACTCGTGTTACACCAAAAGAAAACGAATTGCCTAAAACCAAAAAAATTATCAACGAACACTCAGAGAAATTCAGGGATGAATCGTCTCCCTTTGACAAGAAGAGCACCTTTAGCACAAGCACTCCAAAGAAGGAACCAGTCGACAGCGAGCAAGGCGCGCGAGACGATGCTGAAAATATAAAGCAAAAGACAACCCCACTTGTCAGTTACAACGTCACACGCTTCAAACAGGAATCAGTGCTGCAGTTTCACTTTAAAGTTCAAATGGTCAACAACATCAAGGATGTAAAGTTATCTACCAAAGTATTGATGGCTCAGTTGGCAGAAATAAACAAAAAGCTTCGCGTGCTGCAGAAGGAACTACTTGCAGTTCAGAAATGTGATGGTGATAAAAACCCAACGAAAAGCACTCAGATGGTGTCAGTTGAGACATGAATTTGGACTAAAACACCCGAACATGTCAGGTACATTTGCCAACACTTATAACGGGGTCTGAACTGTTAATAACTACAAAGTGGAGCAGATATAGTGTTTTGGACACTGCTTCATTAACTAAGAGAGGATTAAGCCTGAGAGAGTTAGTCCCTATAACTATAGTATTTATTTCCAAGTTTTATCCTCTCTCGTGTTACTTTACGATCATTTCCCGTTTTGAAGTTGTAGGAGGGTCGAGAAATAGCCAGTCCTGTAATGTGGACAGCCTAAGCAGCTTTACAAGTATTTTCATCCTCCGTGAGAACATCTATGCAACGTGTTTAGAGAACAGGATACCATACCCAAAAGTAACTTGAGAGAGATTACCTTGATAATAAGGACATTTGGGGGATTAACTCTCTTACCCTTCATCCTCACTTGATAAGACATAATATTTAGTTGTTTTGCTTGGAAAAGTTTAAATTTCTCATGAGCAGAGGATGGTCCATTGGCAGGTTTAGTCTCGCGACCTTGCACGTATGAAGAGTTATGCTTAGCCTGCTAATTAGGGGGATTGACCATGTCGAGAGTTCCAGTTGATGTTGGAGTTTGAGTTTGGGTCGTGGTACTAGTTTTACCCTGAATGGGTAGCTTAATTTAAAGGCAACTACCGGTTAACCTACGTAGAATGGTTAGCTTTCATTTTTAGGCGAAAATAACACCAGATATAGATGCTTTTAGTAGTTTTCTTCCAGTGTGCTGTAATTGCGAATGCCGCAATTTGATTGGCGGTGCTGTAATTAGTGTGGTCTGAAAAATGGCGATGTCTTCTCTTTATTCCAAAGTTTCAGAGGAAAATATATTATTAGATAATTCAATTCCCGAAGACTAAAAGAAGGACATTTAAGGACATGCGACTTCAAATTCTCAAAATTCTTGAAAGAATTGATGACATCGCGTACATAGCGAAAAAGTTTCAAATAATGATAATTCAGTCCGGTGAGATTTTGTTAAGCCTTGAAGTATAATACTCCTTAGTAATGTAGCTTAATTTAAAGGCAAAAAAATATATTGCTAGGATCCTGCTTAAACAATTAGACTTGCCGTTCTCGATTTCTATGAGGAGATAGTTGGTCGGCTTTCGGCCTCAATGTAACATCTATTGCTTCACACAAATTTCAAGCTCACAATCTAATTGTTAAATACTACACGAAATATGAGAATTAAGTTTTAAAATTTTGTTGTTATATAGCTACCAAGGCCACGCTATCTAACTCAAGTCCCATCCACACTTGAAAACGGCGGTTTTACTAGCTCTGAAAACGCATCAAATTCCGTCCGCACAAGAAATTTTGATAACGCAACAATCACAGGTCATTTTTGATTCGTGTTTGAGGCAAACTCGGGCAGGGAAATCACCTGATTATCGTGATGTCATCATTTTCGAAAAGATTCGTTTTCAAAATCTTTTCCATGCACACTAAAACGCGAAGCCAGCGTTTTCAAATTCCTCCGGTTTGATGAACGTTTTTCGAAAAGTTCCATTTTCGTACCGGATTATTTTGGAGGGTAGGACTAACCGTAGAAATTAAGCGGCGTTTTCAAATTTCTCCGGCGAAGTGTGGAAAGGGCCTGTAGGTAGGTATGCATGAGCAAAGTAACCTACACTTTGCCAGAGAAATATATTGCCATTGGCAATGTTATGAAACAACTGATTCATTTTCTTTGTTGTGCATCATCAACTTATGATGCAATTAATGTTTTTTTTTATAGGGTAAGGTGAGTTTGGAGAGCACTGAAGAAGCCAGAGTACTCTCTTACCCTTCTTTCCTACACTCCAAATTTTCCGCGTGCGTCAGAACTCGATGATGTACTCTAAAGTATGAATCAATAGACCGTTTTCGATATATTAAACTTCAGCTTGACAGTGAGGCTTGGAGGACACAAACAAAAGAAATTGAATGACTATGTTTATTCATTTCTTTTGTTTGTGTCCTCTAGGCCTCACTACAAAGCTGAATTTTAATATATCGATAGTGATCTATTGTTAATTCCATGTTGGTCTAAAATGCTCGTTTAACCAGGTCGCACTATTCAGGACAAACCGGCTATCTGATCTCGACCAATCTTGTGAAAAGAAAAACAAAACAAAAACAACAACAACAAAAACAAGACTTGCCGAACTGGTTTCCTGACTTTTCCCGCGGATTTCCCTACTTGTCATGGAATACTGCGCTGAATTCCAGGTGGCTAATTACCGTATTTTGGCGGCTTCTAATTAATCATAGTGACTGGACTGATAGGTGTATTTCATGCCTAGAGACAGTCTAAAAGTTTGTTTTCCTCCTTTTATTACACAAGAAAAACTAATTGTAACTTAAGACAAGGTTGAACATTTTGTATAGTAAGTTGTTATAGTCACAGTTGTGTAAAAAGTAAGCCGTAGAAATTAGAATACTTGGTTACTAAGGTCAATGGCAGTTTTATGCAAAGTAAATAAAACATTTCCCAAAACAAATACTCGAGGAGATGTCTATGTCAAGAATATAATGGCTTGTGTTTAATTATCTGTGAAGTTGTAAGTTAATATACAAAACGGTTGTGGCAAGGTCTTAAACCATCACGGCGACTTGGCTACTTTAATACATGTTTTAGTGAGTGCAATTTCTATGTTTTTTCTTTGGCAAGTTTTGTACCATCCAATGAATCGACTCAAATCAAGATATTTCTCGTCATAAAAGCGACGTCACTTTGGTACTGATTGAGCAGTCCCTCTTTTGCATTGCAAAGGATCGTCCGACGCTCTGGTTTCACCAGGTCGCAGGCTTTAGTCCTTTTTTTACCAATGAACGATGAAATCCGGTTGAATTTGTCAGCTACCACCACGTGTGTCAAATGATGTAAGTGTAACCGTCACACTGTTTTGAGGTCCTGCTAGGCAGACATTCCGATTTGGAGGTCCTCAGGTAAAACGTGAGATTCCAAACTAGAATTCCTGCTCGAAGGCTGTACCCCTCCTTCCTCCAGTACACGGTGAATCTGGTTGACCCTGTCATCTACCGTCAGGGTAAAGCACACAGCCAAAACGCTCCCTATTCTTCCCAGTTGTGTAGAAGGACATGAGTGTAATGGTCAAATTAATAGTCGCCGGCCTATACTTGCGAGTAGGCAATCTGGTTTGGAATTTCTGGCATTAAATGAGGAATTCCAAACCAAATCACTTGCTCGCTGGCTTTTGGCTCTTCCACCACCAACGAACGATAAATCAGGTTCAGTCTGAAAGTGGTGAGTTTTAGAGGAGAAAACTGTCAGCGTTTAGGTTCTGCTCTTAAGATGAATTGTATATACAGTCAGTTTAATGTTCAGCACCCTTACAAACATGTTGCTACACTGTCGTTTTGGGGGCAATTACTATCGGGCTTGGTGAATGTCAATCAGATTAGCTAATATTCTTATAGTTTTGATTGGTCATAGTAATAATTCAACCAACACATTCCTTAGATAACCCTCTTTTATATGTAGTACGTCTTTAAATACTACCGAATATCAGAGTTCCTCCGCTTTATCTCAAACGTTTTGCACCTCTCGGTGGCGCTCAATATTATGATTTTGCTGTTAACCAACGATCATGACCTCTCTTCATTTCTACTTACCTGATGGCAGATTAGTAGTAAGTACAATGCAAAAACACCCCTTCGTTTTCCCCACAGGTATCTAGGGTGTGTTCACCTCGTTTGTCAAATTACATAAGCGTAAAGCGTACCATAATATCATGTTGATGGGCCTGCTAAGCAGACTCTCTGGCTTGGAGTTTCTCGCATTAAACGTGAAATTCCAAATCAGAATTCCTGCTCGCAGGCTATAGCACTCCATCCTCCAATAAACGGGGAGGCCGGTTGAACTTGTCATCTATCGTCCATAGTACACAGCAAATACACTTCTGTTGAGTAACAGAAGTCTAATGGTCACATTGTTGATCGTCCTAGCGACGACCAACAATGTATAATGTAGTAACAGTGTAGACTGTAATGTATTTTCAGTAATGAATTCCTGCGTTATGTATTTTTTCCCCGCATTTACCTTAACATGGTGGTAACCAGCTCGAAAGCCAATGGTTTCTCT